GTTGATAAAAATTAACGTAAATTTATTTATCTTCGTTGCGCCATTTTGATCGATATTATTAACACCTTTCGTAATAACGGAAGAATTTGTACGCCATTTTATTAAAATTGAAATGGAAAGTTTGAATGCAAGGTTACAAACATTACTCGTATAAGTCAAACGATATCGAGCTGTTAGGGCAATCGGACTATTCTAATTGCTTCTATCTATTTAACGACAGTTTCCAAACTATCGGGCGGTTGGAAAACGTTCGTAGGCGAAATTGAAGAAAAGTTTAAAGGCAACGTACCTTCTTAGAGTTAGCATTTCACTGAATAATGCATGCACTTGTTTCTTTCTGGCTGTGACTCTTGCCATCTATTAGGTAGCTCCACGAGCGCTTTTACGAAAAACTTCCCGTCTTTTACTGCGATAAATTCTTCCGAATAGTATCTGTAGGGCTGTACTGTATTCAATTTCTTACCATTAAAAGCGTTTCGCAATGAACGGCATAAATATTAGCGGGACCATGGACCATCTGGTAAAAGAGGGTTGAACAGTCCAGCGGAAGTCAGATATCTTTCATTTGCTCTCCATCGATTAAGCCTAACGTTTCTCTTTAAAATACGAATCTTCTATAATCGATCAATTTTGAATTCCTCTTATCCGAAAATAATACCTTATCTTTTTCTTTCTCTTTTCCACAAGTTTATAATAAATAATCTACTTTAAAATATTAAAATGCACAGGTTTAGCTATTTATGAGAAAATTAACGGTGACTCTTGTTCTAGTAAAAATGGAATACCCTATTTCAATATTCTATTTGCTTTTGATTATTATTATCTATGCATACCGTATTTTTTTAAATAACTCGATACATAAATTTCCATAAAAATTTCAGGAAAACAAATTTTCTTATAGTATAGTCTTTATAGTTTAAGTATTTAAGCGTTTACTACAATTATAATGTTCAACCACGATTACTTTCAGTCACCTACATATCACCTCGCACAATTTTGAAGTTGTTCCAACAAAATTGCACGATAGCGTATCGTAACGCATTACAAGTGAAATGTACGCCTAACTCGAATTGCGCAGTGTATGAAAAAGCGACAAGGAAGAAAAAATATTCGACATAAAGCACGTGTATATATAGGAGCTCTCGCAACGCCACGATAAATCTTAGTTTCCGCTTCGTAACGCGCCTAAGTAATTTCTAGGAAGCTTTATGCCGCGCGCGACAAGGCAAAATAAAATAGAATAAGAACGCGGCTCGTAAAGTTCGAAGTTGCGAGACGCGGAACGTGATGGCATAAGACGTAGCAAGACGCGACGTGAAATACGCTCGCCTAATCGATAGATGGAACGCACGTCACGCGGCGCGGAACGTCGCGCCCCCGATCCAGCCAACAGATCCATATGGACTGGCCTCACTGAAATCCGTGCAAGCAAAGAAACACCGATCCGGAGAAATTGGTCCAAAGGACACAGTCGCGAAAAGAATTATCGATCCAAAGAGGTCATCGATCCAAAGAGGTCATCAATCCAAAGAGCACTGATTCAAAGGACAGGATTCCAAAGAACACCACCTTCAAAGGAGTTTGTAAATCAAAGACCATCGTTCCAAAGAACACGAATCCAAAGAACACCGTTCCAAAGGACACGGATCCAGGGGACACCGTCTCAAAGGAGCCAAGAATCCAAAAGAATCGTCGACCCAAGGGACACCGTTGCAAAGGAATTATCGACCCTATGAACACCGTTCCAAAGGAATCATCGATCCAAGGAACACGGATCTAAAGAACACGGATCCAGGGGACACAGATTCAAAGAAGTCAAGGATTCAAAGGACACCGTTCCAAAGCAATCGTCGATTCAAGGGACACCGTTGCAAAGGAATTATCGACCCTATGAACACCGTTCCAAAGGAATCATCGATCCAAGAAACACGGATCCAAAGAACACCGTTCCAAAGAACACGGATCCAGGGGACACAGATTCAAAGAAGTCAAGGATCCAATGGACACCGTTCCAAAGCAATCGTCGATTCAAGGGACACCGTTGCAAAGGAATTATCTACCCTATGAACACCATTCCAAAGGGATCATCGATCCAAAGAACACCGTTTCAAAGGAGCCAAGGATCCAAAAGACACCGTCCCAAAAGAATCATTGATCCAAGGAACACCGTTCCAAAGTAATTATCGATCCAAGGAACACCGTTCCAAAGTAATTATCGATCCAAGGAACACCGTTCCAAAGTAATTATCGATCCAAAGGACACGGATCCACAGGACTCCATTTCAAAGGAGCCAAAGATCCAAAGGACACCGTTCCAGAAAAATCACCCGATTCAAATAACACCTCGATCGAAATAACCTAAATCGCCGACATTGACCCAAATGAACCGGGCCAACCAAACCGAGGTAAAGGAATCGATCGAAAGCTGCGGATGCAATGGCTTTGATTCGACTTTTTATTAAAACCTTCTCGATTCACATCCGGCGATGTCGGACGCGATATCATTAAGACGTTTCCATGAATCCCGGATGACGTTGCTCGCGCGAAATTAACTTCCATTCGATTCGCTTCGAATCTGATTCATTTTTAATGGCCGCTCGAGGAACGCTTCCGAAAGGGACAGAGCTTACGTTCTGACTGGTGCAGAGGAAGTATATACGCTTGGCGGAGACGATGCAGCCTGGTCGTAAAATTGGTCAGCCGTTGAAGTTCATGCGGCTCGAGAGGAGGAAGTAGAAATTTTAGACCCGTGGGGTGGCATACTATTTCGAGGGTTTCAGTTGCAGCGAACTTTGTAATTATTCCGATTATCGAATATCTCGCCGATTTTAACGATTTTGAAATATGTTATAGCAAAAATAAACGTCATTTTGAATAATTCTTCTTTTGTATCATCAATTCGGTCCTAGTTATTGAGATCCCCAAAAATATTTCTCTATTAGTTTGGAAATATTAACGCGTTATAGAAGCTAGTAAACCCCAGTTTCCCCACATTTTAACCTTTTGCCATCGAGAGGTGAGCTTTAGTCACCATTTCATAAAATTTGGAAGATCGATATTAATTAATATATCAAATTTAATGTAATGTAACAGTGTACGAAGTATCCAAGTCAAATAATTCTAAGATTCTGTTATTATACAATTCTTTATTTACTGCTCAAAAAAAGCATCGTCAGCTTTTTGGTATGGAATCTTTGAATTTCTACTCTTCTCTAGCCAAAAAATCGTCGAGTGCAAAGGGTTAATATACGTCACTGTCTATTAAAAATATTTGTATACCACCACTAGTAATTCTCATAGCGTAATAGTTATAACTATTGTTATAATAATTTTCTCTCTTTTTTCCATCACCGGATTAGTAAAACCTATCCATAAAATCTTAGTATTTTCCTTTTGACCGCTAATATATGGCTGACGCGCTAGGTGTCAATTGAAAATTACTTCTTCTACTGCAGAATGTTTAAATAGAAATTTGTGTGGTATACGATTTGAATTTACAAATGAGTCTCGTAGTCTAAGATTCAAGGTGTTCTGTATGTGGCGTACACGGCACTGGGTGTGGCCACGTCGATCGGTGTCGCGCTTAAATGTTTTAATTTACGACCTCGCTGTATCGTTTCCACCAACTGTACACCCTGGTTCGTAAGTATCGTAAGTTTCAGGTTATTTCACGTTGAGTTTCGTTCGTTGTTTTAAAATTCTAGCCGACTGTCAAAATTTATGGTCCACGTTTAGATACAGGAGTGATATTAATAACGAAAACACCGCCGATAATAATAATAACGAAGTTAGACTAACGACAGTTAGAACGGCGAGAAAGATAAAAATAAAATTAATTGGAATTTTATTAAGTAATCGTAAGAAAAACGATGTTGATCGACGCAATATTCCAGTGACGCATATTATTTTGCAATTCCTTTCTAGCACTAGGAAATTCCATTTTGCTATTGAATAAAACAAAGTATCGTATTCGAATATTTTCTACAGTTTCGTGATTACAACATTTTTCGAAGAATACCGAAATTTCTAGATTCTTGAAGAATTTTTCAAAGAAAATTTAACGACAGATATAACGCGATGGAGAACTCGAAAAATTTGGACAAGTTCGTATTTAAATTTTCAAGCAATTCTAATTGCAGAGTATCGAAAAATTCTCGAAGAATTAAAATCCGATTGGAAAAAAATTGAACAAATCGAGTGTTAAAACGATCTTGACGATCTTCGTACGGTTAGATAAGAACGAGGGCAGATTTTTGGGGCCGATGCAGCGAGAATGTACGAATGAGGTGTTTAGCTTCTCGAAGAGAGATACTTGGTCGCATTTTGGCAACTGAAGCCGAATATACTCGCACGGTCTGAGTAATTTGACTGCTCTAGTATCTAGCCAGTATACGAGCTAGTATAAATACGTCGGTGTGACTCATTAGGTGGTCTGATGGTATAACGATATTGATAGCAGAACATGCTCGTTTCGTATTCTTTTATTTTTCCTGCGGCCTTCTCGAGTGATTGATATGCACGGTGACTTAAAATTGCGTACTAATTTCTCATATCAAGGCAGCGAACGATACTAGTTACTCGATTATCCGAACACACGTGCTACTATGCTTCGCGCATAACGTTTCCCTTGTAAAATTAACGAATCGTGAATCCTTATCGAAGAAACCCTAAAGTTTATTCCAAAATTCGCAAAAATGTGGGGAAAAAGTGCCAGAGTCGTTTATTCCCGAATAACCTAACCTAACCTAATTCGACTATTTATAGATTCCGCTATTCTCTAAGTCTTTTTTCAGTATTGATTAATGGAACTAAATTATCGATTATGCTAATGCAATAATGGCTGCAACGAGCACCTTATTAAAATTTATGAAAAATTGCCAATACTTTCCGACATTACGATAATAGGTGGCTATTTAATTGCACGTGTCACGAGATTACCATAGGAACATAAACACACGTCGATTCTAAAAATATATGCAATAAGTCAAATTTCTACTCACATCTGCGACTGAGGCTTGGCATCTGATTTCTTTCTCTTCTTGGTGATGCTGCCAGTAATCGCACTCATTTTGACCCACAGTGGGTCCTGTAGTTCACACGGGCTAGGCCTGTAACAGAAAGAACGGTATATTATTATAGTTCGAAAATATACTTGTATATATAATAACATAATATCGAAAATTAAAATATTGCACTCGAATTAACCACAAAACACCAGTGTACATCGTACCCATCCAATTACTAAAATTTTTCCCTATTTCAATTACACAATTCGATATTTAATACCGGTACTTAATTCCTCCAGTAGTCACTACCCCGGGAGTCCCTGTGTACCCCTTCGTCTAATAATCGTAATTCAATTTCGCGTTACTCAAAGCTGATCTATCTTAGCCATTATCAAGCAGAAATACCCATCGTTAATCTTTCATAGCGCGCCAAAGCAGCTTAACTCGAAGAAATTGAAGGAAATCCAGCATCTCGGGGCTCTAAATTTCCAGCAATCGGGTAAAAGGGTACGCTTGCTCCAAAACGTAATTAAACGTTTTCAAAATTCAACGATCCTTTCCACCGGGTCAAACAACCGACCATAATCCATTCTTAATTGTACCCATCATTTCCCAATTATCCTACAACCCCTGTCCCATTTCCTCGGCGAAACGAGATCTAACAGCCCGAAACATTAGCAGCGGGCAAAAACCGCTATAGGAATCCGCAAAAATGAGCATCTCTTAAAGCACTTTCAGAAACGTAATTAAGTACGTGAGAAATTTTTCAAGCTCCGTCCCTCGCCACCGCGTAATTGCCAAATAGCTGGCAATTTTCGCAACATTTCGCTCGCCACGCTGTATTTCTCTACCAGTAATTGCTTTATGTCCACGCGTTCGACCAACTCGTGTTATTCGAAAATTTTCGAAAACGTTTACTTTCGGCTTAGACCAACTCTAAATTTGTTTCGAAAGATCGCTAAGGGATGCAATACATAAACGTAGCGAATTTTTATTTCCACTACTTATTGTTTAATTTTTCCTTTTGCCTTTTCATAATATATAGCTGTTTTTAAAGAAATTAATGTCGACTCGTATTAATGGTAGAACTGTAATTAGTATATTTACTTATCTTCATCGTACCATTAAAATTATCATTATCTATAACCGCTATGTTTAGGTCGGCATTAAAGACAGGTAGTTCTATTGTCAAAGCGAGAGAATCGGAAAAAGATTTTTATTTCGATATTTCGCAATAGAAAATCGGCACAGTGCCTTACATTTTTGAATACAGAAAAATATAAAGAAAAAGGTTCGTTATAAAAATATGACTTTAATTCCGGTGAGAACTATCGGTAATAATTACTAACGCAATCTCAATGGCCAAACGCACAACGCATTCGTCCTTCCATTATTTTTCCCCGATGACAAACAAAAATTTTAATTCTTATCTTTTTCCTATTTTTATTTCATACCAGACTTATCCCCACGCGATCCTTGCTTATATTATAACATTTCACGTTTTACCGTAATTTTAGATCATTAGATAATCGCACATGAACTTTTCATCACGGTTAATGCAAAACCTAAGTTTTCATTTTGATTTTGCCTTTCTTTCCCTCGTGCATTCTTTTTCTGGTACCACGACGAAGGATGGTCACAGCGGGCCGTGCACGGTGCGTGTGCACTTTACGCGTTCGTTTATCGACACGTGAGACATGTCCTATCGCGTGTCGCATTGTAATGTCTGGCGGAATTCGCGATGCGTACGAAGGGACGCGGGACAATTATGGTCAAGGATACACGGCCGACCCGAACCAACAGATGCAACCACCCCATGTCCATAAAACGCGAATTCATCGTCGCGTGCACTTATTTCAATATTTCACTCGCTACACGCCTGATAAATAATTCACCGGGATATTCCTGGAATTCCTGTTTTTTTCATTCCTTTCCCCCGTTCCCGAATTTCTTTTTCAGCCGGCCGATCCGTATGCGAGATCCCACGAGCGCATAATTTCGGTTAAAGGAGGACGTGGATCGACGTTAAGAATTTTCTGGGAAAAACACGTCGATTCGCCATTTCCTATGTCCCCTTCTCTCTTTTTCCTCTCTTCCAAATCGCCACATAATTTTATCGATTTTTCGACAAAAATGCAATCGTTATTAATAATCTAGGAAGATTAAGTTATTAATAATCTATCTTGAAATTCGATGACGTAAGGAAAAATTGTATAATTAATTACGCGAATGTAATTACTGTTACTGTTAAGAATTTCAAAAGGGTACAGCAAGTAACGGAGCCTCGTATATAAATATTAATAATTCGTTCTACGCGCGACAACAAGGAAAAACGATAAAAAAAATCCAGTAATCCAATTCTACGCGTGTTAATTTCAATCGCGAACGATCATACTTCGAGTCACGGTTAATGAACACATGGCACTGATCGGATAAGCCAGGAAAGAGACAAACGACAAATTCCACATAGAATCCTCGCGAGCACTTAATAAATTCTACCACCTTATCTGCTATCGTTGATCCAACACAAACAATCTCGCCGCGAGTCAACATTTAATCGCCTACAAAACCTAACAAAGTATCCGTCATTAAAATCAGAAACGAGGAATAAATCACGATAGCGGCACCACCTCGCGCCTACCGTCATCTTGCGCATAATAATTCATCGTTTTCACGGTATTAACACCGCGGGACCCGAGAGACCGCTGATGGACAATTAAAAAAATTACCGTCCCGTGGAATGCTCGACAAATCGCGGCCGATATTTAACGTCGATTGCAAACGGAGAGAAAAATAAAAGGAGGAAGAAAAGGAGGAAGAAAATTTGAAAAAAGACGGGGGGCCTGGTCCGCGGCGGTACAGTAATCGGTATCGCCTCGCGGTACCGCGATAACCGATCAGCGTAACGAGTAATTAGAAAAGGCGGTTCTAACAGGCGGTGATAATTTGTTTTTGATTTGATGAAACGAAACGATCCGGAGGTATTAGTCTGCGAACGGTAAGTAGGCAATAGCCGAGAAGGCAACTGCAAAACGAGCAAACGTATTGCTGATAGAACGCAGATAGGTACGCATTACACGCTTAGTTGCGTTCGCGGGTCTACCTACGCAAAATTTCCCTCCGCGACTCGCGATGCACGATATCGATAAAAGTCAGGGGGGGTCAGATCGCGACGCGATTCGCATGGTTCGATCACGCTATGAAATCGGATGACGAGCACCAACCATGTGCAGATCATTTCCCTTTCTATATCTTTTTATTTTTATTTATTTTATTCCATTGCTTTTTTCTCTATTTTGTATTCCTTCTCCGCACATTCCATACCTTTCTGCATCAGATTTCGAACCCCTCTTTCGCTTTTCTACCTATTTCATCGATATCGTTATACTTCAAGCGTCCATTACGTTTCTCGCCTCATATTTCAACGTATAAAAATAATTTCACCGATTTTCTATAGTTCCGTTGCCGAATTGATTGAACGATGCGCGTGATTGCAGTAACGCACTTTGCTATTGCATTATTTTTAGATATTTTGATTTTTCATTTTCTCTTTTTTTTTCCTTTTTTTTTTTTTTTTTTCCCGCGCCAACTTTCCGAACGTTAATTACGCGGACGTTAATAATTCCGCGCTTTGACGTCTAAGATTCTCGTTAAAAATATATCGTCGATAATGAGCCTTGGCGCGAGTCGCGTCCCGCGGAATTATTTTCGAACGGCACATCGTGCAGAGACGTCGAATTTTGGGTAAATCCAATCGGCCAAATGAATATGCAACGATCACGGTGGGGCTTTTAATTTATTTAATTAATCGAAATTAATTGCTTAATTCTGACTCCGGTACCACGGATCGAGATATTTCATACACGTTCACTTACAACTATTTTCATACGACTGTAAAAATCACTTTGTAGTTTGTAGAGGAAGAAAGAAAAAGAAAAAAGGAGAATAAAAGAGGAAAAAAAGATAATAAAGGCGAATGATAAATAGGCTGTGACGGTAGCGCGTTACTGTGATAACTTCATTTCTTTGAATAAACGTTTAATAAACTTCGGTATCTTATGGTCGTGCAGAAAAGGTATCGACGGAGATAGAACCGATAAGACAAGAATATATAATTCGACGGGAAAGAGGTAAGCATAGCAATCTTGTAAATTATGTCCTTCTGTAAATAGTGCCTCCGCGTTATGCCATAGCACACGTATCAAATTATTGACGAGTAAAATATTAACTCTTTGCACTCGAGGGGTGACTCTCAGTAACCATTTAAGAAAAATAATTCTACGTCTTAATTTGCATATAATTTCTCATTTACCATTTGAAAAATATCGTCGACTCTATGACAGAAAATCGTCGAATTACTATTTTTCTGTAACGAAAAAGTCGTCCAGTGTAAAGGGTTAAGAACATAATTAACCCGGATAAAAAAGATGGCTGCTCTCAGCAAATATGCAAATTTACATTCGATTTGCTTCCTCGAGGATTAATTCCCGAGAAATCTGCCTCCTAAATGGAGACACATGTTTTTTCAAATTTATGCAACTCAGAAAAGCGAGTTAATTATCGTAAAAATTTTATCCGAATATTTTCATTTTCGCTTGGGTAAAATTCCCTCGAGTTTATTTTTATCTAAACGGTCGTGAAACTATTATACGAGCATTTGGAAAAAATTTTCGAATTATTAGAGGGACAAGGTAAAAGGAACGAAACGATTACCACCCTGTGAAAGTCAACTTCGACATTCTATACGCTTACGTTATAACAGGTACCTCTGTCGACAAATACACCTTGTGTTTCTAAAAAGTACACAGAACGGAATAAAAAAAAGGGGGGGGGG